GGCCGGTCTGCCGCCCTCGCTCAGCGCCGCCTCCTCCCGCAGTGGACTTCGTGCGCTGGCTGTGCGCCGTGTCCAGGGACGAGCTGGCCTGCCCGCACCACCCCCGCATGTTCAGCCTGCAGAAGATCGTGGAGATCTCCTACTACAACATGAACCGCATCCGGCTGCAGTGGTCTCGCATCTGGCACGTCATTGGGGACCACTTCAACAAGGTACTGCCCGCGGTCGGGGAGGAGCGCACGGAGCATCACTGCCCACGGAGCATCACTGCCCGGGGCAGAGCAGAGTGCACGGAGCGGCACCGCCCACGGAGCAGCGTGCCCACGGAGCATCACTGCCCAGGGCAGAGCAGAGCGCACGGAGCATCACTGCCCGGGGCAGAGCAGAGTGCATGGAGTGGCACTGCCCACGGAGCATCACTGCCCAGGGCAGAGCAGAGCGCACGGAGCATCACTGCCCGGGGCAGAGCAGAGTGCATGGAGTGGCACTGCCCACGGAGCATCACTGCCCAGGGCAGAGCAGAGCGCACGGAGCATCACTGCCCGGGGCAGAGCAGAGTGCATGGAGTGGCACTGCCCACGGAGCATCACTGCCCAGGGCAGAGCAGAGCGCACGGAGCATCACTGCCCGGGGCAGAGCATCACTGCCTGGGGCAGAGCATCACTGCTCGGGCCAGCCTGGGCTTCTCTGCTCGCAGTGGCTTAAGCTGCGACGATTGCACAAGTTCCGTTCAAGGCACCTAAAGGAAGCACCTCTTTATAAACCTGAAGGGTGTAAATAGAAATGGGAATGTTCATGGGAATAATTTTTAATCGCTTCATTATAGGATTTTGTATTTGTGAGTTTTCTCTGTCTTTTTCTTCTGATCAAATGCCGAGTTAGTGTTCCTGTAGAATGTACACAGATGATCCTGGAACAACAGTCATTTTCTTTAGGAAACCGAACGGTGTTTGGGTGGGATTCTCTCCAGATAAGATCATTTATCTATTTTTCAGCACCTAGCTGGCTGTTACAGTTCTGCACTGCAGCACACAAAATCCAGGGGGCTGCTCAGGTGGACAAGATGACAGAAAGATCCTTCAACAGGAATCTCCTAAATACCTGAATGCTGCAATGTGCTAGTGATTTTGAGTGGACTGAGATGGAATTTTGAGTGAGGAATTTGTTGCTCATCCAAGTGATACATTAGCTGATAAGTGTTTGAAAATGTGCTTTTCTTCCAGGTTGGGTGTAACCCTAATGAAGATGTTGCCATCTTTGCTGTAGACTCATTAAGGCAGCTGTCAATGAAATTCCTAGAGAAGGGAGAGTTAGCCAACTTCCGCTTCCAGAAAGACTTCCTGAGGCCTTTTGAGCACATCATGAAGAAAAACAGGTGTGAGGCATTGCCATTTCTGCTTCAGCTTGCTTTAGTCCCACTTAGGCGGTCACGTACGTGGAAGTGGCACAGGCACTTTGTGCCAGGGTGAAATGGTCTCTCTCCCCTTGTGTTCCAGGTCCCCGACCATCCGGGACATGGTGATACGCTGCATTGCCCAGATGGTGAACTCCCAGGCTGGGAACATTCGTTCAGGCTGGAAAAATATCTTTGCAGTCTTTCACCAAGCGGCGTCAGACCACGACGGGAACATCGTGGAGTTGGCCTTTCAGACTACGGCACACATCGTCAGTGAGTGGCGCACGGTGGGAGCTTCGCCGCGCGGGGGGACGAGGGGTCTGTGTTCCAGGAAACACACACAAGGCCTGGCAGCCAAACTGTTCAAACTCTGCAACAGGGTCATACCCGTGGCGTCTCCTGGGGCAGGAGAAGCTATACAGACATTCTGGTGTGGAACTCTGGAATGTGGGGTGGGCTGGGGCAGAAAGCAGGAGAAGGCAGAGAGCCACGTTGAGTGAAGCAGGTCTGGTGCTGTCCTGCCTGCTCCCCAGCAGCGCGCCGTGGCCAGCGGGCCCTGCCCTGTGCCGTGCCGCTCCTCTGTGGGCTTCAGGGCAAGTAAGTGTAACACGTGTGTGTGTTTGTTCTTCACAGCAAATATTTTCCAGCAGCATTTCCCAGCAGCGATTGACTCGTTCCAGGATGCAGTGAAATGCCTCTCTGAGTTTGCCTGCAACGTTGCCTTCCCAGACACGAGCATGGAGGCAATCAGGCTGATCCGCTACTGCGCCAGATACGTCTCAGAGAGGCCCCAGGTGCGTCCCGCGCTCGGCTGGGCGCAGAGACCCTGCGAGTGTTTGTATCCAGAGCTCACTCAGGTTTGGGAGTAATTCTGGTATTCTGTGAGCAGTAAACCAGGGCTAATTGAAAAATGTTAAGTCTTGTTAGTCCAAACGGGACATAACTGAATGAAATAGTCCTTGTTTGTTGGGTTTTTTTGGTCTTGTAGTGTTAGGATGGCCTGGAAAGCAATACTTCTCCTTCTGTCACACTGACTGTGTCTAGTTCAGTTGGCTGCAAACACACCTGTTTACCTGCTTCAGTCTGTTGTGTGAGTGCTTCTCCTGGCTGGGAGAGCCTGGAGTGGGATTGCTGCTGCTGTCCAGCTGCACCCTGCACTCAGTGCACAGAGGGGTACAGCTGCTTTATACCTGGTTTGGACTTCCCTGTTACCTGTGCTGGTGTAACTGTTGTCTGTCACTGTTGCTGACAGCCTGCAAGGCCTTTAGCTGGACTGAAGGAAAACAGGTGGAAGCATTTCTTGCCATTTTTTTTCCCCAGCATTTTTCTAAATAGTTATGTCTTGGATTTATACTCACATGTTACAGGCTTTGAGTGCTGCAGGAGGAACTGAGCTAACTCTCCAGGTCTGTGCACTGGAGTACCTAAGTCTGTTACATATAAAGATTTTTAAGATTTTTTAAAATCTTTTTCCTGCTCCTCTTCAAGGTATTAAGAGAATACACAAGTGATGACATGAATGTGGCTCCTGGAGACAGAGTCTGGGTCAGAGGATGGTTCCCCATTTTATTTGAGCTTTCTTGTATCATCAATCGTTGCAAATTAGATGTTCGAACAAGGTGATAAAGCTCTTCTTTTGTTCCTTTTCTTCTTGTAATTCAGTGATCACAGGAACAGTTGTAACACCTGTTCCTTTATTTGTCTGGGCTTATTTAGAGGCTTGACAGTGATGTTTGAGATCATGAAGAGCTATGGGCACACCTTTGAGAAGCACTGGTGGCAGGATCTGTTCAGAATCGTGTTTCGCATCTTTGATAACATGAAACTGCCTGAACAGCAAACGGAGGTAAACCCAAAGCCACCAGAATGAAGAATTCCTTAGAGCTGTGTGTGAGGAGCTTGCACATCTGAGGCAGCAGTGTGTGCTGTTTGTCTGGTCAGTGTATTGCTATCCCACACTGCCCCAGACCTGATGACACGTTTTGTGTTGTGCTCAGCTCTGGTGTGTGCGTGAGGCTTACCACAGTGTGCAGTGACCTGTTGTCTGTCCTGGCTCTCTGCTGTGAACATGAGCAGTTTTCTGGGCAGTGTTCATGTGGCCAACCCAGTACTGCTGACAAGGCATCTGCAGTCCTGAGTTCTCCTGCTCTGGTCTGTGTCTCTTATGGAGCAGCCATGCCTAAGCCTAGTGTTGTCATCATAGAGGGACCCACATAAACCCCAAGGCTTGTCATTTTCTCCCCAGAAGTCGGAGTGGATGACCACGACGTGCAACCATGCACTTTATGCCATCTGTGATGTGTTCACACAGTTCTATGAAGCTTTGCATGAGATCCTCCTTCCTGACATACTTGCACAGCTACACTGGTGTGTAAAACAAGGTACCTTGTTTACTTGTATCTTTTGATTACGTGTGTTTTCAAATGTTGATTACTGGAGAAGGAGAGAGTTAACTGAATTTTTGAAGAGTAAATGCTATCACTAGGACTATGTTATGCAAGAGATGACTGCAGGGTCTTGACTGTTTGAGCACCAGTCTATGCACTCAGGCAGGTCTTCTGCTCCTGTGTGCATAACAAGCTCGAGCTCGTGGTGTTGCTGTGGCACAGCAAAAGCTTTTGCAGAGAGGTCTTAATCCTCTGAATCCCTTGCCAAGAGCCTTTGTCTGGCTGCAGGGGGACCTGGCCTCCCTTATTTACACATAGATACATGCATGCATGCTGATTTTGGTTCCTTTCTGTCTCTTCACACCCCTCTTCCCCGCCCTAACCATCTAGCACTGCCACATGCAACTCTACAAAGAGCATATTCTCTTCTGGGCTCCAGCTCTTACTCCTGAAGTCCTGCATGTTGCCAGTGTGGAACGTGGGGGACTGTCTTGCAGGAAATCATAAGCTTCCTATTGCTGCTTTTGCTTTCTTTGCCTCACTGTGTGCTTCCTTTCTGCTCTGTCCTGCTCTTCGTCTTCCCTGCTTGGATTTTTTGGCTTTTGTTGAGCAGATTCCTCAGCTTGATGCTGTGGTAACATTTGAAGCAGGTATTGGGCCAGGACACGTGTGTTTCACAGTGCTGGGAACAGTTTTGAATGAGCAGTCCCAGGGGATGCCTAACTTTTCCCTGGTGCTGCAGAAGCTGATAGGTGTGGGTGTTTCTCCCACAGACAATGAGCAGTTGGCACGATCAGGTACAAACTGCCTCGAAAACCTGGTGATACTCAACGGGCAGAAGTTCAGCCCTGAAGTCTGGGGCCAGACGTGCAACTGTATGCTGGAAATCTTCAAAACTACTATTCCTCACGTGTAAGTTCATGAGTGTAGTTCTTACACTAATGCCCTTGTCTAGAGCAGCAATATTTACCTGTTGTGTTCTGTTTTCACTCTGTGAAGTTTGCTGACGTGGAGGCCTGTGGGGATGGAGGAAGATTCCAGTGAAAAACACTTGGTAAGAGTAAATTCAGAGCACTAAACTACCCTGAAGGGGTTTGTGTTAGGTCAGCTTTTGAAATACGCTGCTGTAGCCAATACTCTTGACCAGGAATTGGCAGTAGCTTGTATTTGGTGTCACTGTAGAAGAGGATGTCAGGAATGGATGGAGGGAGCCCTTGGATCTCAGATTACGGAAGTTACCTGCAAACTGATAGCGGGTTGGGAGTTAGTGTTTTGGATTGTTTTGAACCACTGGAACTGTTGTTCTCTCCTAGGATTTGGACCTCGATCGCCAGTCTTTAAGCAGCATAGACAAAAATGCTTCTGAACGAGGCCAAAGTCAGTATTCAAATCCAACAGATGAGAGCTGGAAAGGTGCTCCTTATACAAGTAAGGAAAACGTGCAGGCTCCTGCACTGCACTGTCACAGCCAGACTTAGTCCACTTCTGTAGTTCTGTAGAGCAACTTTTGGGGCAGTTAAACTTAGGGCACATCTTTGCAACTTGTGTTTATGCCTTGCAGAGAGATTTGCTCTACAGAAGATAATTGACAGCATCACTAAATACCAAAATGCTAATGGTAGTGCCGTGCTTTGTTAGGCTGTTTTAAGTGGATTGTTGTGAGTTGCTTCTGAGACTTGTGCTGCTCTATTTTGTTAGACCAGAAGCTGTTTGCTGGGCTCCTCATCAAGTGTGTGGTACAGCTGGAGCTGATACAGACCATTGACAACATAGTGTTCTATCCAGCCACAAGCAAGAAGGAAGATGCTGAGCACATGGCTGCAGCTCAGGTACCTTCAGCCTCCTGTAACCTTGTGTGGCAGTAAAGGACAAACTGTGGAATGCTCTGCTGTGTGTTTACAAAACAGGCTCTCTCTTCTCAGCACTACCCTGAGTGTGTGCAATGATCACTCTTTTGGGTCTGCCTCCAGTGTTTCCTGGTAGTGTTCCTCTTGCATTAGTATCAGTGTAATAGATTATCCTTGTTTTTTAACAAATACATACTTATCAAGAATGTTTTTTGTTTGGGGCAAAACATTCTTTTCTGCTAGTTAGCCTGTGTGTCTTCGTTTGGCTGCAGCTGAGGCTTTGCTCAGCCTCTGGATGTCTGCACAGGAGCAGTACAAACACCAAATAGATCATAAGTTCTTTCTTGTAAAGTACTGAGAGGAGTACAGCTCTGGTCTTGGACAGGAGCTCTGTGCTGTGCTGCACTGATACTGTACCTGAAATGGAACGTGGAGTTAGTGTGGAACATGCCATGTGCTCTCTCTCTCTCTCTTTCTCTCCCCCCCACCCTTCAGCGGGATGCACTGGATGCAGATATCCACATTGACACAGAAGACCAAGGAATGTATAAATATATGTCTTCGCCTCACCTCTTTAAGCTGCTGGATTGTCTGCAAGAGTCTCACTCGTTTTCAAAGGCCTTTAATTCAAACTATGAGCAGAGGACTGTGTTGTGGAGAGCAGGTGAGGCTTTTGCTTTGACTGGATGAAAATGCACTTGTGGTGCTAACTGTCATGGTAGAGCAGAGTGTGTGCCTTAGCTCCTGCAGCTCACTGACAGTCACAGGCTTTTGTTACTCATCTCTTTCCTGACTGGAGTAATTCTGTTTGCTAAATTGGCTGCTTTTCTGATTGAAGTAGAGCTACACAGTTGACACTGCTGTAGTTAAATATCTTTATAAACAGATCAGATCTCAGTCCAAGTCAGGTAGGAGGGAATGGTGTCTGGGCAGGAAATCATTCCTGGTCCCTAGTGCAGGTGTTGTTGATGAACTTTGTCTCTTGGCTGGTCACTCCAAATGTGTGTGTTCCCTCTCTCCCTGTGTGGGACTGGTGTCTAGGGTTCAAGGGCAAATCAAAGCCCAACCTGCTGAAGCAAGAGACCAGCAGCCTGGCATGCTGCCTGCGGATCCTGTTCCGCATGTGGGTGGACGAGAGCCGGCGGGACGCGTGGGACGCCGTGCAGCGGCGCCTGCTCAGGTGGGAGCGCGGGGCCAGGGGTCAGCACGGGAAAGGGAGCACCTCCTCGGCTGGAGGGGCTTTTCTGGAGAGAGCTGGGGGTGTCCGAACGCTGTTCCCATCTGACTGCACAGGGACAGTCAGGTGTGGTAGGATACAGCAAGGTAAAGCTGCTGTGTACCTGGAATGTAAACACATGGAGAAAATTATGCTAAATAAACACAAAAAGGTGTTTGGGTGAGTTGTGGGTACTTAAAAGTGCACAGTACTAATCCCTGGTCAAATGTGAAGATCTCTCAGACTTGCTTTGGCACTGATGCGGTGGACTCTGATCTGCCAGCATTCTGCTCCCTGTGTGAAAGGGGAGGCTCCATTCCCTCTTGAATTAAAAGAGCATCCCCAAATAGCTGTAGGAAGTGGTGCAGTTTGCACCTTGTGCTGATGGTCTGCAACAGGGACCAGAAATTGATGACTGCAGGGCATAGTAATCTATGATGCTGTGCCCTGCAGACCTTTGTTGAGCCAGTCCAGGTTTGGGGGGTTGCTCTCCAGTGGTGCTGCTGCTGAGGCTATCCCATATGAGGGTCAGGAAGGGACACTTGCAGGTTGGAGGCGACAGCACTTCGATTACAGATGTTCATGAGGCAAATCAGACTCTTCCGTCTCTGTCTCTGTGGTTCTTTGTTGCCAACCTGAAAAGTATTTCAGTTCAGTTCTCCAGAACAACTCCTGTAGCAGGAAAGACAAGACAAATTGGTGTGAAGGTAGTGCATGTGATTGAAATTTTCCCCATGGAAATGCATCTTGCTTGAAAGCAAAATACACTGAGATGACAAAGAGTGCATGTTATAAGCACCTCTTTCAGGGTTTTTCATGCTTTGTGTGAACTGTGCCATCTCTGCAGTGTGTGCAGCGAAGCCTTGGCCTATTTCATTACTGTCAACTCAGAAAGCCACAGAGAAGCCTGGACCAATCTCCTGCTGCTGCTGCTAACAAAGACACTAAAGATCAGTGATGACAAGGTAAGAAGGGGCTGGAGGTGGTGTCTGTGTGTGTTCAGGTATTTGTTTTCGTTCCTGGTCCAGTCTGAGCTCAGTCTGTATGACCATCCACACTGCAGGTGGCAAGGTCCCTCCTGGCAGCTCTGCTTTTCCCTGGGAATGGGGCTGCATCCACGCAATTCCCTGCTGGGGGAAATGTGGACAGGGTTACTGCAGGGCTCTCAGACAGGAGCACAGTGAGTGTGCAGGGAGGGATGGGCTCATGCTGTGTCACAGCTGCACAGCAGTGGTAGGGGTGAATTCACCCCTGCAAAACTGGAATCTCAGTTCCTCGGCAGTGATGGCAAAATGATTTTCAGGATCTTTGTGCTTTTGAGGAAAAGCGAATGCAAATATTTATGTTGCTACGAGTGATCCCTGATAGCACCTCCAGGCTGAGAAGTGCCTCAGCCACAGAAGAGCCAGGCTGTGCCTAGGGGAGCAGCCCCAAACACAGGCTCTGTGTGTGGCAGATGCAGAGCTCAGTGCCCCTCGGCCCACCCAGGAGGGCCTGGCTGAGAGCCTGGCTGTGACAGGGTGCAGCCACGAGTGTGAGAACACTTTGTCCTCCTGCCCTAACAGAGAACAACATTCTGTTTGTGTGTGTTGACAGTTCAGGGCACATGCTGCCACCTACTACCCGTACCTGTGTGAGATCATGCAGTTCGACCTGATCCCGGAGCTGCGCGCGGTGCTGCGCAAGTTCTTCCTGCGCATCGGAGTGGTCTTCAACATCTGCACAGCAGAGGAGCAGGCACGGACAGCTGGGACCAGCCTGCCCTCCTGGTAGCCCCGAGGGCTGCTCCTTTGGCCTGTACATAAAGCTGTGTTCCAGAGCTAGACTGAAGTGGATGGGACAGAATGGGCCCTGGTGTATCAACACAGCAGCAAGTTACTCTTTCCACAGTGGCATTTGGGGAGGAGGAAGATAATCCTGTTCTGTCAGCAGTTTATTTCAGTTATGGCTTTACAGAGTCCATGCAGTAGGTGTGCAGTCTCCTTGTTTCAATGCTAGTCACCCTTAGGATCCAGTGTCTCCTCTAGTCTTCGATCCACTGCTCAGCCTTGCGTCCCAGCCAGGGCCAATAAACCAGCCGGAGCTCCATAGAAACTCTGCCCTTGGAATGCTGACTCTAGCTGTATAGCCTTGTGATGCTGGCACACGTGTTCACAATAAACTGCACTGCAGTGGCCAATGCCCACCCGAGATCCCTGTGGGTTTTCCTTTGTGTCCATGCCCAGACTAGGCAGGGCCTTGGGGTGTGCACAGCCCCTGGGGTGTTCAGGGGGAGGGAGCTCCTCCTGCTTAGCAAGTTATCTTTAAAACTTCTTTTGATATCAGGACTTCATCTTCTGAGACTTATTTTAGGGTTTGTGGAGGATTGGACACCAGGAGCATCAATAGCATCTCTTCCCTTTAGCTTGTTGGGCTGGAGTTAAAGGCATTTAAAAAAGGCTTTTTCCATTTTCTCCGTACATTGGCAGGTCACGGACAGAGCATGCACAGCAACACCAAAACCAAGGCTCAGAGCAAAGAAAACACCTTTTTGGCCCTCGAGTACAATGTATTTAGCAGCAATTGTGGTTGTTCAGCAAAAGGTCATGTCCTTAACGCATGAGCTTTTCTCTTCACTGCAGATCTGCAACTTCTGATTTGTTGTTTGTGCAGATGATTTTGGTTCTTAGCTGTTAATTCCTCTTGGGATCTAAAATGAATTGAATTCCCACAAAACTGCTCTATCAAAATTAAAGAAGTTCATCCATGTGCTCCAAGGGTTACAACACATTCCTGTGCTTTGAAGGTATCTGTGGAGCAAAGGTGACACCTCAGGTGAGGTTGTCTTGGGATATTCTGAGCTGCTGGGAATCTGCTGGGAGTCTGCTGTCTGTCTTTGTTGTCTTTCTGGTTTTGGGTGAGCTGTTTCCAAAGGTCCCTCTGGTGCTCCTCAGTGCATCAGCTGGCTCCCCTGAGCGTTGTCTGGGGAAGGCTTTGCAGCCAGGAGCAGGGACAAAACTTTCACAGTCACTTTCACTTTTTATTTTAACCAAAGAGAACTAGGAGGTGGTCGTGGCTCTTTGAGTTTTACCTGCCCCTTAGGTTAAACCTGTACACCTCTGTTTAGCAGAAGGGAATATCTGGCTGTATCTGACAACAGCAAAAGCCTGAAGAACAAGCAGTGCTGGTGCTTCACTTGCTCTGTTTGAAATGTCCTTTGTGTTGCATTTTTGTAGCTACTTCTGCCCCGGGAGATGTCCCTGCACTGCCGAAAATGATTTATTTTAATCCTATTTAACCCTGTAAGAATAGGCTGTTCCTTCTCTTCTGGTCCTAGGTAGCCCTAAAGGAGGTATCTGACCCGTTACGTGTCGCTGCTGCATGGAATGTGCTCCCTCCTCTCCCCTCACACACAGCCCCTGCCCAGCCACATGCCTCGCGTCAGGCTGAGCCCTGCAGCTCCTGGCTCCAGCAGCTCTCTGCCTGCACCGCTGCGTCCTGAGCTTCCTCCTATGGCACTCTGCACATAGGCCAAGGCTCTTTGATCCATCCCTCCCTTAGCCTCTGGCCCAGACTGTTCCTTAAGAAAAGCTTTTGTTGTATTTATAGTTTGGAACTGCTGCAGTTAGGCACGTGACACCCAAACATCCTGGAGTGCAGGGGATGGAGCGAGACTCGGTGCTGTCGGGCTCTGGGGTGATGGGACACGTGGGAGCACTGAGCAGGGGCACCCAGTGCTCTGCCCAGGACAGGCACTGCAGTACACAGAGGGAAGGGAGCTTAGACTTGTGTGTTGTGCTGCAAGTGACTCTGTGCAAACACAGAGCCTGCAGGGGTGGGGGGTTAGGGCTCGTTTGGAACCCTCGGGGGAGTCCTGGGAGTGGACGGTCCCAACGAGGAAACCCTAACCCTTCCCTGGTGATGTGTTGGCTCTGTTGTGTCTTACAGCCCAGGAAGGCTTTTTACAGCAGTTTGTTCCCTGTCTTGCATCTCACTTCCAGCCTGTAACCAGAACCACCTGAGCCATGTCCACTACCACAGACAAAACCCGATTTTAGCTCATCTCACTGTCCAGAAAGGTTAAAAATAGTAACTGTGTCTGATGTATAACTAAGCTTTTCCTGTCAGAAGTACTATGTAAATTGGGTTTGTTTAGCACCTTTATCTGTGTACAATGTATGTTTTCACATATTTAAAATGCCTAAGTTTTTTAATCTCTCGGTATAAGTGCATTTACTATCAATAATTTAAGAGCATTCCCTGCCCATGGGTGTATACATTTTTCAGAGAATACCAGATTATATAATATGAGAAACTTTATGTAAAGTTTTCTACATGAAAATGTATAATACGGTTATAATAATCCATGCTTTAAGCAAGTGGTAAAACAATAAAGTTTTAAGAAGTGTTGGTGCCTCTCTCGTGTGGTTCCTCGGGGCCAAGAGCCTGGCGGGCGGGGGAGCCATGAGTGGCTGCGGCCCCTGCGT